TGTTTTCAAGTGGTTCTTAAAAAAACTCAAATTTGTACTGTATCTAGTCGACATAAACTGGCAATCTGATGATCACTTATTTAAAACATGCTGATATTTCCATGAATGATTTAAAATTGTGTATTTTCAAGTTTAAATTGTGAAATATTCCTAAGTATCTAACTGTAGTTTCACATATTCTCAAAGGTTGGTGAATATTTTTAAACTTTCCTGAAAATTATCGTGTTTTGTAAGAATAGAAATCACCCTTCATGCAAGCAGTTTAATCACAATAATTTTTAATGATATGCAAAAGTAAGAAGAAATAGTGTAGAGTAAAATTACCTGTCACCTGATTCAAACTGATTTTCATTGACAATAAACACAGAATAAATTTACTTGTCAGTTGATTCAAACTGCCTCTTAACTGACAATGAACAATGTCAATTTATCTGCCAATATTATTTAAACAGCCTCTCAGTGACAATGAACACAGACAAATAAACAGAACACAGACACTGGTATACAAAACAATCAAGTCCATTATATTTAGATGCTGGTGTAAACAAAGATTAGTCATAATGGATTAGCTCTCTTTGATGAATATTCATGATGGATCAATATTTGGATCAGCTGTTTAATAAATGTGCAGACAACAAAGAATATAATGACAAAATGTCAAGACAAAAGAACCCCACACACAATGGATGAAACTCCAGGACAATTAAGCCCTAAAGGCAAGTGCTAAAGTGGGGCTAACTCTGATGTCCAAAAAGCTGAACTTAGAGCTCTTGAGGGGAGACCTCTTCCAGGAACCTCAGACAGAAAAAACAATAGTACCATAGTCTTTACATACACTAATACATCAAACAAATCATTTTGCTGAATGATTCTGACAGAAGTTCCAGATAAACTCATTAAAAATGTGCAGTCATTACATTGTTTATCACACACTATAATATCCAGCATGCCACTTCATGAAACCACAGGAGTCTGCAGTTTTATCAACAAAGCACAAAGAAATCTCTGACTACATGAAATCACCTTAACGGTATTATAAAATATAATACCATTAAGGTGATTTCATGTAGTCAGAAATTTTGTTGTGCCTTATTGATAAAACTGCAGACTCCTGTGATGAAACCAGAATAGTTTTGACTTGGTGAGACAATAAATGGTGTTTATTCATATATGTTTTGAATCATAAAAGGAACCAAATTTTGATCAGTGGTTAAGCACCCACAAAGTGAACATTACATTAAAACCAGTCATTATTGTGGGAATCCTGATATATTATAATTAACTTGCAACATGTTTTTACTGTAATTTGAACTTAGAAAATTGTTATTCATCTTTGATTTTAAAAGTTGACCATGACATCACTAACTGGTTTAGTTCCAGTGAGTACATGAATGACTGAACTGTCTCTGGCACTCTTGACATGAGATAGCTATTATGTTTGCTTGAACAAATGAAGACAAGTTGCAGTTAGTGATTCTGCATTGAAATTCTTCTTCATTCAAAAGGTGTGGCTTCAGTATGAACAAGACTCCAACAAGTGGAGCAATCTTATGTGAAATCTTTCCAAGACTCAGGGTCAATGTTAGGGATCTTTGTAGCTAAATTTCTTCTGACCACCTAGATATTGCTTTCCATTCCGTTATCTTGCCATAGAATTTTTTCTTTAGCAATCATCCTTCTGAGATCCTATTGATGTGAACTGCCCATCTCAACTGTAATTTCAACAGCAGAGTGGATGTATACAATGCCTGCCCATCCTACCATCTCATTATCATCATCAGTTTCCTCAGTCAGCCTATATAAAAAATTGATCAGCTTCTTGGCATGGCATCTGTACACCATGCAGGTTTTTCCATGTAGTCTTCCAAAAGACAACACTTGCTTTAGCAATTCTGATGTTGGTTTCATCATCAATGTAAACTGCATGTCACAGTGAGACTGTTCCAGTGGCCTAGTTGTTAAACCATCCACCTCGGATGCGGAAGGTTGTGAGTTCAATCCCTGGCTGAGTCATACCTAAGACTTACAAAGATGGTACTAAAAGCTGCCTCACTTGATGCTCAGCATTAATAGGTTAGTATTAGGACTGGTAGGCCTGGTGTCATGATAATGTGACTGGGTGATACATGATACATGTCTGTATCATTATGCCCCAGTTCTAGACATCACTATAAACTGCCACACTGCAGACATCTTAGCGATATGACTGAAAAATTGTTAAAGCTACGTTAAAAATCCAAATCACAACACAGATGCATGTCACAGTGTGCTGCCAAGATAGCTGAACTTGTCCGCTGCCATGAGGTTTTGGTCATCGACTGTGATTGTAGGTTCTATGTAAGTATTTCTTGGCGCAGACTGGTGCATCACCTACATCTTCTTGATACTGACTGTGAGACTGAAACTCTCACATGCTGAAGAGTTAGACTCAGATCTATGGACAGTCATTTCCTGTAACTTCATCTTTGCCTGTAGTCTCTCCCAATTGAAGATCCTGCCATCAGTCCAGTCTCTAATGTCAATCCCAGTGTCATAATTATGGAAGGCATGAGTAAACATGGCAGAGAACATCAAACTGAAAAGTGTTGGTGTATACACACAGCCCTGCTTGATTCCACTGGCAACTGGGAAATGTCCAAATAACTAATTGCTAATATGACATTAACAAGCATTGCAACATGGAATTACTTAACCTTCATAATGAATTTCTCTGGGCAACCAAATTTTGATATAAGCTTCCAATGGTATTCATGGCTGAATGTGTCATAGGCATTTGTCAGGTCAATGTACAGGTTGGAGTTCTGTTTCTGGCATTCTCCTGGAGTTGACAAGCTGCAAACACAATGTATGTAGTCCCTTGTCCTTTTCTGTCTAAAGCCACACTTACTCTCTGGAAGGAATCTTTGATGATTCAGCAGAATCCTGGTAATGCCAGCTGTTGATAGCAAGGAAATGTCACAATGGTTGTGGCAAGACTGTCTATTGCCTTTCTGCTTGTACAAGTGGATTATGAATACATCCTTGTAATCAAAGTTATAGTTCCATGAATCTAGATTGACTGGAAGAATTCAGATAGTTTCTGTACCTTATGTGAGCCTCCAGATTTGTAGACTTCAACTGGTATAGAACTTGCTCCATGTACTTTGCCATTTGACAGCAGATTAATTTGATTCAGCATTGGAAAGCTGTTGGAAGGTATATACTTAAAAGTCTCTGAAAATTTATGCTTTGTACGAATTTTGAAAAATTATGTTTTTTTGGTATTTTTTTTATTTAAAATAAAGTTAGACCCCATGTTTACGGTTATCATACATGGTTATAACAGCTTTCCTGAGTCAAAACTTTTATGGAGAATGTTTGAATCCTAGCTTGAAGTGTATGCATACCTGTAATATCTCACACCATCAGAGTCTTACTCCAGGAGTTCCATTTCTCACCGAACAATACATGAATTATGCAAAGAAAAGGAGACCATACCTTGCAGTGTTTGAGTAATCTTGTCAGTGAAATAATAAAATAAGGTGTACTTCAGTTATAATTATGTGCAAGTTCTGAAACTTAGTATACGGTAAATGTGGTAAAAGCCTAAATGACAGTTGGTATTCATTTTGTACCAAGGCATATGGATAACTTGAGGAAGAAAAATAAAAAAAGAAAATAAACATTTTGTTTTGGTTGTTTTTAGTGGTTTTAATGGCAATTATATCATGATGAGGCAATGTTAGGTAAAACCCTTGCCAAGGACACATGCAACAGACCTGGTATAGCCAAGATGGGTGTGGAATACATAACCTTTGGATTTTGAATTGGATATTCTACTAAATGAGATAACAGAGCTATTCCAGTCACAAATTCAAATAATACCTCACAGCATATTTTACCAATTATTAGTGTCTGAAAATATAACATATCTGAGCATGAGACATTCCAAAATACCCCAATATGTAACAAATACAGTACACTACAAATACAAAACTCTACAAAAATAGGGATTTTTAATTTATTCCAAGTATTTTTACAGGCATTTAAAGCATGAGTATATCTTCCCTCTCTCAAAATTTGATACAATAGTAAAACTGAACTTGAAAGACAGCTGTCATGGGAGATAAAATGTCATTTAAAATTTTATTCCTAATACTAGTGCCCATACCATTTTTTGCTAAATGTCAAACAAATAGCTTCTATTTAGAAACCACCTGTCTTGAGGGGACATATTTTGTTTACAGAAGATGTGGTCTCCCAAAACAAGTTTTATCTTTTTAGTACTGCCCTCTGGGCAAGTACAGGGCACATATTCCAACCTCAAACTACCAATGTTTCTAAAATTAACAAATCCCCATAATTTGATCACCACAGGAAGACAAAAGTACTTACAATATCCTTCTAACAGCTCAACCAAGATGGTACAACACTGTTGTTAAGATTAGATCTGAATCCAAGTCAATCTGCATGGTTCTCTTTCTCTAGTTCATTACTTATTTCTGATTCTGTGATAACTGAAATGTTAGTCAATAAAGAGCAAACATTCCCAAAATCTTCTAGGATTGGTTTGACTGAGACCTATATCACCACACACATAGTTTCCTATTCAAATTTAAAACACATTTTTTTAATGCACAACTGACAAGAAAGTGAATTATCAATAATGCTACACTCGGTGTATATTTCTGCCAAGCCCAAAGATTCAAACAAATATTGATAATATTGTGTATGAGCTGGACAAAATATTTTCAGCATACATGGTCTGTAGCCAGTTATGACAGGCTTGGTTCTACTACTTCCAGAATCAATGACTCATCCCAATGATATGATCAATATCAACTACTTCAATACCAGCTACAGGATCTTTGGTCATTAAATAGTGGAACAGAAGACTGCTTCCTCTTTGCTTTTGAATCATTATTAACTATAGCATGTTAAGGAAATGGGAGGTATGTGCATTTCCCAGGTACAAGTGGGAGTGGAGGTGGGTGGGTGGGGCGGAGTGCAGCTGACCCACATTGGCCTGGGCAGGTATTGAACTCCTGACCCTTGGATTATGAATCCAATACCCTACCAACTGAGGTAACCATGACTCCATGGTATTATAGTTGTGTCCCTGATAGCACAATTAACTTAACAAAAATGTATAGTTTGTGATATCCATTTATGGTGCTTATGTGCCAAGAACAAAGATTAAGTAAAACAAATTAGGCAGCAATCATTAAATATCAAATAAATTCTGACCAAACCAATGTGATCTGTGAAAATTGTTGCCTTACTGGCATAAAAAAATGGAACAGCAATATATTGAGAGGTATTAAAGTAAGAAAACACTGTACTGCATGCATGCTGACCATTGTTGCAGACATTTATAGCTGCTAAATATGACCATCATACATTTTTAGGTATTTTTGGGTATATTTAGGTATTTTACATTTTTAAGTCAAATAGATCATTAACTTTATTACTGCTTCATCTCAGAGTTAGCCATTTTGGTGTTGGAGTGATACCTGGCAGACCAGGTTTTCATGAATCTGAAAATATGAATCTCTGGTTTAAATTTTATTCAGGATCTCTATTTAAATATCTTGTAAGTAAAAGTAATTCAACTTAAAAAATTTAATTTGCTGTTTTTCACTTGAGGAACCCATGATAATGGCTGATTAACTTTCATTTAAAACCTGATGAATCCAGATGACCTTTGTAGCAATCTATGAAACAGCCTTCAATAGAGATTCCATGTTTATTACAAGTGCAATAGAAATGATTCCCCAAATTTTCTTGTCCTGCAGAGCAAATGATGTAGAATAGTATTTGTCCTGCATAAATTTTAACAAACGAATATCTGCATATACATCTCTGCACGATCTGCAGAATTATAGTCACTACTCAAGCTGAACAGACATCTAATTTGCATCAGAAGTAAACTTAAATTTTAGCACTGAAATTTTAACTTGAACTTATTATTTCATAAATGTTGTGGTAAAAGAGTTATTCTGTAAATTTTTGCAGGCTGATACTACATTCTCATATACAACTCAGATCCGACTGCAAACTTTGCAGACCCTGGTCTGCTGTTGCATAATGCACCTGCATAATCTGGGTCTATGCAGCCAGTTAGGAGCAATCAGTAGAACAAATCACACGGGGCCTTGACCTGCCAGCCTATTACATGACAGCAGATCAGGTCTATGTTGTTTGCAGTTGGCCCCTATTTATGAATCGAGTATATACAGTCAAATGCTATGGATGCCTGTAAGGATGCATGAAAGCTTCACTGATTGTGCAGGAGAATTGAAGATGATATTGACAATTAGCTGGAGATTGGACCACAGACATAAATCAATAAGCAACCGTGTAAACCAATATCAATTCTCTATAACAGCCTGTGCTTAGAAAGTCCAATTTTCCATCGAATTTAAATATCATCCAATGTCATACAGACTCACATATAGATCCTTTATAGAATGACATCATTGGCAGCCACATTGAATTAAAAATGATACATACTACTATTGACTGCATAGACTGTATGAAGAATAAAACAAATTCATTGAATTTCAAGAAAATGTTATCAAACATGCATCAGTTTTAATATAAAAATGCATCAATTTCAAATTTTAAAAATGCATCAATTTCAATAAAAAATGCAAAAGATAGGCATTTTGCAAATGTCAAACTAATATTTTTAAATATGTAAAAACAATTTTTCTTTTCTTCAAAGTACAAAAAATAATGTTTCAAAAAAGAATTCACATTCTAGGATAAATATCTTAGATACAAAATAAAGGGACCCAATACTGAGGAGCCCTCCAAAATATCAACATCTACTGAATTAATAGTTGATCCTATAAGCTGTCAATCATAAATATTACACTTTTATGAATTAAACAAAATTATGCTGACAACATTATACTAGTATAAAATGTATGAACTTGCTTATACAGTCATACCTTACTATAAAGCCCCAACAAATAGCATCTTATCCTGAACTATAATCCCAAATGTATAGCATCTTATCCCTCACTATAAAGCCCCAATGTATAGTATTTTATCCATCACTATAAAGCCCCAATGTATAGCTTCTTATCCCTCAATATAAAGCACCAATGTATAGCATCTTATCCTTCACTATAAGCCGCATTGAAAAGCATCTTATCCCTCACTATAAAGCACCAATTTATAGCATCTTATCCCTCACTATAAAGCCCCAATGTATAGAATTTATCCCTCACTATAAGCCCAATGTATAAAATCTTATACCTCACTATAAAGTCTCAATGTATAGCATCTTATACCCTCACTACAAGCCTCAGTAAATAGCATCTTATCCCTCACTATAAAGCCCCAATGTATTGCATTATCTCTAATACCATATATACTCATTTATAATTCAAGTCAGATTGTAAATAACTGATCCTGATCAACCAAGGCATAATGCACTTACAGACCAGGGTATATGTTGTTTTTCTATTATTTGCTCCTTTCAAACTACACAGACCCAGATCTACTGATGCATTATGTGCTGGCAGATCTGGGTCTGTGTAGTTTGCAGTTGGACTAAAAGTTGGTACATACCGAAATATGGCTATAATCATAGATTCCATTAAACTAGTCTAATTTTGTTTAGAGGATGCTACTTGATTTACTTTACTTCATTTTAGTTCTGGTCAAATTGGAAGTAATTGGAACATCTTTTCAAATTATTAAATCTGTATTTTGAGTTTTAATGAACAATTAGGATACATTTTTAATGGAACATTCCTCCATACTGAACCCCCTCATCTACAATGAGAGTCACTGATGGATGTATTTATCATGAAATTGAAACCCAATAAGAGCAAAAGTGAGACAAACTAGGAATGTATCCATATGCCATCATTTACACTCTCAATGTCACAAAATTAAAGAGCAAAGGTTTAATTCAAATGTGACCCATAACTCCATACAATTGTGCAAGGATAAAAAATCAACTGCAACATAGGTATTCTTAATATAAAGCTTCACACTACATTGTTTTAAATCCATAATGTCCTTGAAGAGTTATTACCATCCCCCAAATATGAAGCTTTAATTCAGACAGCTAGGGGATATAATTCCATGAAATTCTGCTGGAAAATGATGAAAATCAAATAGGACCAAGGTATGTTTCCCAATACTAAATGTGAATTCAGTTCATTAGTTCCTTCAAGAGATACTGAGTGGATATAAATTCAAAGGTAATGTTCAAAGTCAAACGGACCATAACTCAATACAATTCTGGCCAAAAATGTGATAATCAAACTTGACCTAAGCTATTTTAATGTAATTCTTGATAAAATCTTACCAAATTTTATTGCAACCAATGTAGTACTTCAAAGTTACTGAGAAACAATATTTTTTTTGCTGTGATAGATGGATGGATAGACTGACATGGATACACAAGGTAGGTACATACAAATAAATTTTTTAAAAATTATATTACAAAAATGCATTTCATAACCAATCTCAATGGTGTGTCAGAATAAACAGAAAATTAATATTTTATATTTTTGTCTCCATGGACCTTCTGGTATGTAGTGCTCATCTTTAAATTGCTGCATATAAAATGACCAAGCAGCAAAAAAAATTTATATCTTCTCCCCTTCGTCTATCACTCCCCTTTAATTTGAGTATAAAGATATTAAACACAAATTTGCACCTGTATTGATAAATGTGCCAAATAGCTCAATTTCCATAGAATGATAGAGTACCTGTAAACTAATCCAGTGTCAACCAGCATCTCAGCTGACAGGTAACAAGGCAGAATTTCCTGATATATTTCACATCTCATTGAACCGGTAGCCTTTGAAGTGAAGTGTATCTGCATCTATCAGCTCTACACATCTTTGTAGAACCACAAGGTTCAATTTGATACAGCTGTTGCTGTTGTACTGAAATTACCTAGCATAGCTGTATGTTTCTATTCACAATCTAATGGGATTTATTTAAATTAATTGCTTTTTAATTGATTGGCAAGCTGAGAAATAGGTGATGGGAGTGGTTTACCAGCTTTGAGAATCAGTCAGCACACTTCTCTATTGAAAATCTCCAAGTCTCTGTACAACAACAAAATATGAAGAGTTGCATAAAAATGCTACTTTTATCATAAAAACTTATTTATCTCAAGTTTCTGGCAGATAATAAAGATAAAATTTAAGATACAGGAGGGATGTTCACTCCATCTACCAATATATTTAGACCAGTCTTTTGTGACATAATTGGCTTCTTTTTCATGTCTCTTTTGCAAGGATCATTTCATTTGATGTATTAAATGATTTGGTTCTTACCATTAATGCACAAAGATTTTGAAAAAACAAAGTTTCTGTACTATCTGGAATGAATATGCTGAATGTTTTGAAGAACAAATTTTCAATAACACACATACACACACACACACACACTTGTGTGTCATTGTTTATGTTTTTACATAATTACTGAATGGAGAAGAAGAGTGCACATTTAGCAAAAGGGGCAATGTTTTATAAAAAATGGGCACTTACTGTAGTAAGGGGAAATTTTTTGGCAACAACTGGACTTGATGCAGATGACAATTTCAATTTCATCTCTTTGAATGTAGAAGCAAACAAAAGCACATTCTTGCTGACCTTAAGTTAAATAAATAAGCTCAATGTAATAAAATAGACACTAACTGATTAAAGCTGGTCATGTCTTGACCTGGAGGGAGGCTAGAAGAACTCTGAGGGCTGAAGAAGTGGGGGATCACTATTTCCATCTAGCTGGATTTTTGTATATACACTGCATTATTTTTCTCATTAACCCCACATGCCACATTTACCTGTCATGAGGTTTTACCCTACTACCAAGCTCTGTAACATCAACATCATTCAAGTCATTTAAGATACACCAAAGCAATTAGTATTACAGGAAAGGAGAAAGATTTAGTTATGTAATGGTATTAATAACATAGACTTTCTACTGGTGTTAAAAAATACAGTGGAAACAATTAAGATTTTGAGACCTGATTTTTTTTTACTTCATAACTTGCCAGATTCAGAACCAGAGTTTGTTTTCAGATTTTAGACTTTTAGTATTAGATTTAAATTAGAC